ACTCTCAATCTTCTCACTTGCTCTCTTTTCCTCCACTCTCATACATGCACATTTTTTTCATGCTGTGTAAGTTCATATTCTGTCCTTTATTGAAAAAAAAAAAAAAAACCCTAAAGCTGGGTAACAAATTAAGAATCAAAATTTATTTCTAACAGTTCTGGAGGCTATCGCTAAGGTCATGGGGGTGCATCTGCTGAGAGTCTTCTTCCTTTGGGGGATTTCTGCAGAGTCCAGGGGTGAGGCAGGGTGTCACATGGCAAAAAGTGGGAAAACCATGTCCACATGCTTTTTCTGTCTGTTTATAAAGCCACTTGTCTACTTACCAATAACCCTTAAATCATTAACTCATACTCCATGAATCAATTAATCCATTTGTGGTGGCACAGCCCTCACTATCTAATTATGTTGCAAAATCCACATTTTTCAAAGACCATGGTAGAATTTTCCACCTTCTTAACATTAATACAATGGGGATCAAGCTTCAATTTGAGTTCTGTGGGGATAAGGTATAGCAAGATATTAATTTTTAAATTCTGTTATGAAGAGAGTGTCAAGTCCAGACAGGCTGGACAGTTTTGAGGACCTCACTACATTCTCCTGTGATTGCTATTGAACAAGTGTATTCATGCATTTTAAAACTTTTGTTGTGTTTTCTTTTGCTTACAGTCTGTGGATATGGGTCACTCCTATTTGTATTTCAGTCCTAAATTGACTGAAATTATCAGGACTACATCTCAACTTTTTTTCACTGAAATATGTGCAGATACTTGTGCTTACATGTGAGAATGTCTAATGTTATACTAGTTTTCCATTCCTTCTAATATATTGTGCAATAAATCTTTTTTTTTCTTTTTTAGACAGATGACTGGTGAGGGCATCTTAATGCTTGACTTGCTGTTGTCAGCATCACACTCCCAAGTGAGGCCTGGGCTAGCCCCTAAATCTTATCTTTTCCATTATCTCTTTTATGTTGATTCTTAGTTTTATTTAAAAATCAATGTCAGATTCCTTTCCACATCCACAAATGCCTATCTGAATCTGATTGGATTCACATTTAGCTTAACTCTTAGTGGCCATTCACTTCATATAGATTGTGTGGGCCATTCTTGGAACACCAGGTTCCAAATACAGTGATGGGGGTACAGTGTGATGTTTCCATATGCGTTTATATTGTGGAGTGAGCAAATCAGAGTCATTAACATATCTACCACCTCACATACATATCATTTTTCAGGTAAGACTTTTTTGTGTGTGACCGGTAAGGGGATTGTAACTCTTGGCCTAACTCTTAGTGGCCATCCACTTTATCTAGATTGTGTGGGCCATTTTTGGAACACCAGGTTCCAAATACAGTGATGGGAGTACAGTGTGATGTTTCCATATGTGTTTATATTGTGGAGTGAGCAAATCAGAGTCATTATCATATCTACCACCTCACATACATATCATTTTTCAGGTAAGACTTTTTTTTTGTGACTGGTAAGGGGATTGTAACCCTTGGCTTGGTGTCGCCCGCACCACACTCAGCCAGTGAGCGCTCCGGCCATCCCTATATAGGATCCGAACCCATGGCGGGAGCATCGCTGTGCTCCCAGCGCCGCACTCTCCTGAGTGAGCCAAGGGGTCGGCCCCAGGTAAGACATTTAAAATAGACTTTATAAAACAACTTTGAAATACTCAACAAATTTTAATGAAGTATATTCATCATGCTGTGTAATACATCACCAGAAATATTTCATTCTGCCTGATAGTTTGTACCCTTTGACCAACACGTTCCCTTTTCCCATCATCTTGCATCCTGCCCCTCAGCCTATGGTAACCTTCATTCTATTCTGTACTTCTAATGTGATTTGATTATCTTCCTTTGAAAACTATCAAGAATTATTGGCAATTTTTAATAGGGTTTTTGTTATTGAATGGTTTGAATTCCTTATATATTTTGGATATTATGCCCTTATCGAATGTATGATTTGCAAATAGTTTCTGTGAAAGCCACAAATTCTCTTATGATAGTTTTGTTTGTTTTCCCACACAGGAACTTCTCAGATGTATGCAATCTCATTGGTCTATTTTTGCTTTAATTCTCTGTGCTTTTGGAGTAATATCTAAAAATCATTGATCAGACCAATATCATGAACCACTATCACTAGTGTTTCTGCTAGTAGTTTTCAAATTTTAGAATTTTAGAACCTCATGGTTAAGTCCTTAATTTATTTTGAATTGCTTCTTGTACAATGGTTGAGATCAGAGTCATTCTTTTTCTCTCCATGGGGATAGGTAGTTATCACAACATCATTTACTAATCAGACTGCTTTCCCCTTGGTGTGTTCTTGGCACTTTTGTTAACAATCAGTTAGCTGTCAATGTGTGGATATATCTATGGGCTATTTATCCTATTTCATTGTCTTATGTGTCAGATTTTATGCCAGTAACATGATGTTTTCATTACTAAAATCTGCAATATATTTTGAAATTAGGTAGCAGGATGACTCTAGCATATTTTGTTCAAGTTGACTCTGCTGTCTCTGGTCTTTTTTGATTCTACACATACTAGTATAAACAATTTAATAATACTGAATAGTCAAATCCATGAACATAGGATATCTTTCCATTATTTGTGTCATTTTTAATTTTTTCACCAATGCTTTATAATTTTCAGTGTACACAATGTTAACATCCTTCAGTAAATTCACTGCTAAATTTCTTATATGCTACTGTAATTGGGGTTGTCTTATTAATTTCTCCTTCAGATAGTTAGTGTATAAACATGATACTGGGTTTTCTATGTTCATTTTCTATTCGGAAACCACTAAATTTCTCTTTGAGTTCTAAAGGTTTTTTTGTTTTTAGTTTTTTGTTGGTTTATTTGTTTTTGGTGAAGTCATTAGATTTTTCTGTGTGGAAGATCATGAAATTTTCTTTTTGTATTTGTTTGCCTTTCATTTCTTTTACTTGCCCAATATCTCTGGTTAGAAATTTCTTCCCCAACTGTATTGGCTGGAAAAGCTTTAACTTTTCACCATTGAGCATGGTCCTGCCTTTGGGCTTGTCATATATGTCGTTTATTGTTAATGTACATTTCTTCTATTAACCTAAGAAAAATACAGCAGAGAAAAACATCTTTGAATATGTTTGTGAATATATATAATACATATATTAGGGAGAACAAGGAATGTTTTATTATCTTCCAATATGTTTCTGTGTGTGTGTATATATACATATACATACATATATTATATATACATAAACATTAGGGAGAAAAAGGAATGTTTTAAGAAGAATGACCCATTGCACATTTCTGGGGTTGAACGTGGCAACCTCCACTTTGAGTAGTTGAGACAGGATGGGAGCTGAAAGTAGATGACAAAATTTAACTGTATAAAAGGGTACAATTAGTGAATAAATGAGCACATCCAGGTAATCTCTGAGGCATGGAGGAAACTGAGAGGTGTAGTTTATTTGCAAATTGCAGCTCCTCAGTGGAGGTGGGGCCAGGGGGCAGGTGGATCTTATCTGACCTCACCTGCTCTCACCTGCTCATCTGCCACTTTTTCTACACTGCAACTGGTGGAGGCAAATATGAAGGCCTTGAAGATGCAGCTATGCTCCCTGTGTGGGCCAGGGGACTGTCCACTATCACTGAGTGGCTCTAACTTCACAGCCAGGGGGCAGCAACCATGAAGTAAGTTGTATAGTTGTAGGCAGAGAGGGCAGAATGAGAAAAAGGTGCTTACCCCTTACCACCAGGCTACAGGCTATTCCAACAGAATGAGAAGGCCAAGGAGCTTCTGGAGAATACCATCCAGCAACACCAACACCTGCAGCAGAACCAGTAAAGGTGGGTCTAGAGCCCCTGTCACATCAAACAAAGGTGGTGGAGTAGGTTTCAAATTCACCGATATGTATTAACCCATTTAAAGTCAATGACTGTAGTCAAGGTGTGCACCTCCTGTGTCCAAACACATTTGTTTAAGAACAAAGAGATCCATTCTCTTCACAGGCTCCCACACCAGGTAAGCCTGTAACATGTTGGGGTTGAAGAGAGAGGCACACCCAGACTTCTTGAATGGAGAGCACAGTTTCCACAGAAGAATGGAAGAATACAGCATGGTGCAAAAGTTTTACAGCCAGTCTGAGACCTCAATCAACAAACCTAAATCTCAACCTCACATTTTTCTATGATATGGGGTTAACTACACCTGTGTTATAGATGAAATGTTCACATACAATCAAAATAATTTTACATCCAGTGGAAATTAGAGGAGACACTGAATAGGGTGTAGATATCACATGTAAAAACTTCAATTTAGCTAATCTCATGGTTAGAAGAAATTTATACCATCAAACTAAAAAGCTTCTGCACAGAAAAGAAAACAACTATCAAAGTGAGGAGACAACCCAAAGATTCAGAGAAAACATTTGCAAGCCATACATTTCACATGGGCTAAATCTAAAGCACATATGGAACTCAAAATACTCAATAAGAATAAATAATCCTACTCAAAAAGGGAATAAAAACCTGGATAGACATTTCTCAAAAGAAGACTTGAAATGGCCAACGGATGTATGAAAACATTGTCAACACCACTAATCCACAAGGAAATGCAATTTAAAACTACAATGAGTCACGTCAGATGTGTTAGAACAGGTATTATCAAAAAGATAAAAGATAACAAGTATTCGCGAAGGTGTGAATACACAAGGTGTATTAGAACACCAATTTGGAAAGTAGCATAAAGTAGTTACAAAGCTAAAAATAAAACTATCAAATGATCCAGCAATCCCAATTCCGGGTATGTGTCCAAAGGAACTGACAATAGTATAAGAAAGAGAAGTCAGCCCTCCCATGTTTATGGCACCATTATTCACAATAGTCAAGATATCAAAACTACAGAAGCACTCAAAAATGAATGAATGGATAAAATAAATGTTTACATATAAAATAAAATTCTACTCAGACATTAAAAAGGAAACAAATTGTCAATTGTGGTAATATGGAAGAACCTACAATACATTCTGTTAAATAAAATAAGCCAGATACAGAAAAACAAATAGTAATTAAATGTACTTATATGTGAACTATTAAAAAGTCAAACTAATACAAACAGAGAGAAGAATGAAGTTTACCAAAACTGAGGGTTAGGATGGGGTAAAATATCAGTGGGGATGTGTTGGTCCAACAGTATGAAGTTTCACTTCAGCAGGAGGAATAAGTTCTGGTGATCTATTGCACAGCATGGTGAATAGAGTTAATACTAATGTATATTTCAAAGTTGCTAACACGGTGGATTTTAAATCTCACCACAAAGAAATAAGTGTGTCAGATAATGAACATGTGAATTAGCCTGATTTAATAATTTCACAATATATACGTGTTGAAACATCAAATTGTACCCCATAAGCACATACCATTATAATCTGCCAAGTAAAACAAAATAAAATTTTTTTTAAAAGACTTGTCCAACAGTATTAAAAAAAGAAAAAACTATATATTGAGCACAAGAGAAACACATTGAATTCAACGATATGAACAGGTTGAAAGTTAATGGGCAGGAAAAGATATACAATGTAAACATATCCATAACATAGATACACCAGCTGACCATACTATTACCAAACAAACAAAATTACAACAAAATTCTTACTAGAAATAAAGAGGGTTATTTATGACAAAAGTGTCATTCAGGAGGACACCAGAACAATTGTAGGTATAGGGCCGGCCTGGTGGTGCAATGGAGAGTGCGTCGCTTGGGAGCGCAGCGGTGCTCCCGCCGAGGGTTCGGATCCCATGTGGAGACCGGTTCCCGCTCACTGGCTGAGCGTGGTGCGGGCGCAACACCGAGGGTTGTGATCCAGTTGCCGGTCCCTGGTACGGGCGTGACACCGAGGGTTGCGATCCCGTTACCGGTCAATAAAAAAAGACAAAAAGGAAAAAAAAAAAAAAAAACAATTGTAGGTATACATGCACAAAACAAGTAAGTCCAACATCAAATAAAAATAATTAGAGAAGAAATTAAGGGAGAAACAGACTTCTGTGTAAATATTCAGATACATCAAATGCAACTTTCGATATCTGATAGAAAAACTATGCACCACTGACAAGGCTAGAGAAGTCTTGGACAACATTATAAAACAACTTGAATTTACAGATATGTATATATAGACACAACACTCAACAACAGAATACCCAATCTATTCAAGCCCTTGGAACATACTCCAGAAAAGACCATTTGCGATGCCATAAAATATCTTCAATAAATTTGAGGATTTAAATTATACAGTGTATGTTCTCTGACCACAATAGATTTAAACAGAAAATTATTAACTGAATGATACTTCAGTAGTTCACAATTACATGAAAGTTAAACAACAAACTCTGAAACTGCCAGTGAGCCATAAAAATGACACTAAAATTTGAAACATTTTCACAAACAGTAACACAACATACCAAAATTAATAAAGGGCTCAGAGTAAAATTTATATTTGTAAAGGTATACATTTTAGAAAGGAAAGGTCTGAAATCAATAACCTAACCTTCCAACAATAAACCTAGATAAAGGATGAAAATTAAACCTCACAAAACAGAAAGAAGAAAATAATAAAGATTAGAGTGAAAAACGAGAAATAAATGATGCTGCCGTACTCTCTGCCCACTGTTGACAGGGATTTGTGGACAGAATGGTGGGAGATGGAAATGACCTCCCTGCCTCCAACCACACCCCTCAGGTTCTATGCTGGACACCATTTTGTCTTACTTGCTCATACCCCACTTTGGGGCCTGGGTCTCCCTGACCCCAAGGGCTCTGAGGGCAGACGGGGAGTTACCAGAGACTCAAGAAGACTCCTTAGGTGAAAACAGGCTCTGGGGCCATCTCTACATCTGGAGGCCTACACACAAGCACAGCCATGCACAAGGCAATACACAAGTGGAGTCAGGATTTACCTCTTAGTGGCAAGATTCAAAATAGCACTCCATCACTGCAAACAGAAACACAAAAGATTTCTTAACTATAGGGCATGTGGTACACACTCATACCTATGATTTGGCACCATTTCAAAACATGAGGAATAGGTATAAAAGATAAGTATCCCCTCCAGACACTGCTTTTTACCGAGTAAAATAAGAAAACCACTATTGCTTACAGCTGTTTAAGTTCAAACAAGTTGTTTACAATTACGTGCCTGTGAATTTGTGCACTCACATAGAAATGTTTCTATGCACCCCATAGACTCACTCTGCATTAGCTTCAAACATCATAAAAAATTACCTTTACTTAGATAGTTTTGTGATACTGGTCATACAAACTTACCTAAAATAGGTGACTAGGAAAAAATCTGGGCTGGCCCGTGGCTCATTTGGGAGAGGGTGGTACTGATGACACCAAGGCTATGTGTTCAGATCCCTATATAGGGATGGCTGGTTAGCTCACTTGGGAGAGCATGGCACTGAAAACACCAAGTCAAGGGTTAAGATACCCTTACTGGTCATCTTTTATTTAAAAAAATCTGTGTAGTACAGTACTTTAGACAATATATTTAACAAAATATACAAAAGTTAGAGAGGCAGTTAATGTCAAAATTCCTGAAGTAAGTCAAACCAAACTATTTATTATACTAAGTGTACATATTCCTTATCCACAGTTATGCTGGGTTCCATTAAGAATTTTTAACAAACATTTTTATGCATAAATGTTGCATGTGAGGAGTCTTTCTTTTGCATTGTAGGCTGTTTACCAACATCTGTGTCTTCTTCCCACTCAATGGAGTAGCACCTCACTACCTTCAGTTATGACAACCAAAAATGTCTTCAGACAAATGTCCCCTTGGAAGGCAGTGTCACCAGTCATATTTAAATATTGGTAACACTCAAAATGTTAAACATACTTTTACACTCCATTTATCATTTCTATTTGAAAATTTACATTATATAGATAGTTTTCTCTTCATTTCAAGTTCTGACATAAAAAGTGTTGAAAGTTTTCTTGAAAGCTGACAGATTAAAGAGATTTAGAAAGATATTTAACTTTATTTCCACTGTTCAATGAGCCATCCCAATAAGAAGCCTCACATATATTGCATTCTTTCTCCCCATAATTTGATTTTCCCATAAAATGACTTGAGTAGAAATGGTGACAACACAGGATTCTCTTCCGATATACAAGGACTGGTGAATTCTCTCAGAAACTTTATAAAATCATTTAGCTGGAGTGCACTGCTTGTGTTGTAATGCAAACAGAGCACACATAAAATGGCTTAACAGGAAATAATTTCTTTTCTTTTCTTTTTGTCCTTTTTGAGACCGGCCGCACCGCACTCAACCAGTGAGCGCTGTGAGCGCACTAGTCATCCCTATACAGGATCCGAACCCGCGGCGGGAGCTCCACCCAATCATGGAATGCTCAGATTACAGGCTATGCAAAAAAGAGAAAAGAGTGCTTTTATTTAAAAAAGACACAGTCAGTCCAACCCATATAGAATTTCTCCCCTCTTTAAATCCTCTAATGCCTGCTATGATGTGATTCCTTTTTATTTTTATTCATTTATTTTTTGGTGCATGGCTGGTATAGAGATCATTTGTGTTAAGAGCACCAATGTTATAAGCAAAAATGCTCTAACCATAGTTAGCCTTGAGACTTTGGAGAAAAGATGTTTTCACAATCATTACAGTCCTCCTTCCATACCTGAAGGTTACACATCTGGTGATTCAAGAAACTACGTATCAAGTCTTCAAAAATAACTAAAAACAATAAGTGAAATACTTCAACAACTGAAAAACAACACAGCATAACAACAATTTACATAGTATTCACATTTTTTTCCAGTATTATAATTAATCTACACAAGATGTAAACTACACAGCAGGAAGTGAATTGGTAATACACAAACACTAAACCACTTATAGAAGGGACTGGAGCATCAGCAAATTTTTATGTCAATAGGGGATCCTCAAGTCATTCTTCAATACCTGAGGACAATTATATGTTTATAGGTCTTCTTCTTGATGTAAGTTCTCTGATGTCTTGAGGTATGACTTCTGGCAAAATCTTTTCCCATACAAATTACATTCACTGAGATTTTCCTTTGTGTGAATTCTTTTTTGTCTGTTAGGGGGAATTCCAGTACAAGGCCTGTCATATTAGATTCATAGAGAGTTTTTTCCTGTGAATATCCTGATGTATTCTCAAATGTGACTTTGTAAAAAAAACTTTTTCCACATTCATTACACTCACTTGGCTTCTCACTTGTATGAATTCTGATGCCTGCTGAGGTGTGACTTTCAGTTAAAAGCTTTTCCACGTTCTTTGCATTCATATGGTTTCTCACCTGTGTGAATTCTCATGTACGTGCTAAGGTTTGACTTTTGGTTAAAAGCTTTCCCACATTCTTTACATTCATATGGTTTCTCATCTGTGTGAGATCTCATGTGCATGCTGAGGTTTGACTTTTGGTTAAAAGTTTTTCCACATTCTTTACATTCACATGGTTTCTCACCTGTGTGAATTCTCTGATGCATGCTGAGGTGTGACTTAAACTTAAAAGCTTGTCCACATTTACATTCATATGGCTTCTCACCTGTGTGAACTCTCTTATGCATGCTGAGTTTTGACTTTCACTTAAAAGCTTGTCCACATTCTTTACATTCATATGGTTTCTCACCTGTGCGAGTTCTCTGATGCTTGCTGATGTGCAACTTTTGGTTAAAAGCTTTTCCACATTCTTTGCATTCATATGGTTTCTGACCTGTGTGAATTCTCATATGCATGCTGAGGTTTGACTTTTGGCTAAAAGCTTTCCCACATTCTTTACATTCATATGGTTTTTCACCTGTGTGAATTCTCTTATGCATGCTGAGGGTTGACTTTTGGTTAAAAGCTTTCCCACATTCTTTACATTCATATGGTTTCTCACCTCTGTGAATTCTCTGATGCCTGTTGAGGTGTGACTTTCGGTTAAAAGCTTTTCCACATTCTTTACATTGATATGGTTTCTCACCTGTGTGAATTCTCTGATGCATGCTGAGGGCTGACTTTTGGTTAAAAGCTTTTCCACATTCTTTACATCCATATGGTTTCTCATTTGTGTGAATTCTCTGATGCATGATGAGGATTGACTTTTGGTTAAAAGCTTTTCCACATTTTTTACATTGATATGATTTCTCACATGTGTGAATTCTCTGATGCCTGCTGAGGTGTGACTTTAACTTGAAAGCTTTTCCACATTCTTTACATTCATATGGTTTCTCACCTGTGTGAATTCTCTGATGCATGATGAGGGTTGACTTTTGGTTAAAAGCTTTTCCACATTTCTTACATTCATATGGTTTCTCACCTGTGTGAATTCTCTGATGCCTGCTGAGTTTTGACTTTTGGTTAAAAGCTTTTCCACATTTCTTACATTCATATGGTTTCTCACCTGTGTGAATTCTCTGATGCCTGCTGAGTTTTGACTTTTGCTTAAAAGCTTTTCCNCTTTACATTCATAAGGTGATTTCCCTGTGTGAGTACTCTGATGCATCCTGAAGGATGACTTGTTGTCAAATGTTTTTCCACATCCATTACATCTGGAGGGCTTATCACCTGGGTGAGATCTCTGATGCATGCTGAAGGCTGACATTTGGTTACAAGCTTCTGAATTTTCATTACATTCACATATTGTTTTACTTTTGTGAATCCTCTGATGTCTGTTGAGGGCTGACTTTCGGTTAAAGGCTTTCCCTGCAGATGTTCCCTGATATGAGATAAGATATGACTGTTTAACAAAACATTTCTGACATTCACTGTATTTATCACGTTTCTCTCCTGTGTGTATAATCTGATGTTGAGTAATTTTAGACTTTTTATGGAACATTTTCCCAAGTACATCACATTGAAAAGTTTTCTTCCCTACCTGAGTTATCTCTCGGGCAATGATGGATGACTTATTACAGGCTTTCCCATAGTCACTATATTTACAAGTGGTCTCACCCATATGAATTTTCTTATATGCAAATATTATTGGCACTGTGTTGGAGGATTGTCCTTTTCCACTATGTTCAGAAAGTTGCCCAGCTGGAATCTTAGGATGCTCACTAAGATGTTCATGATGACTGTGTGATTCTCAGATATATTACGCTCAACAGGTTTCTGTCCAGCACACATAGCATCAGTCTCTGGAAGAACTGCATTCTGATATTTGTTAAACAGCTCATGCCCCACTCCTGAATAGTTTTCATTATTTATAACCAGATTTAAAATATGCGTTGAATATGCATTCAATGATTTTCCTAACTCCACTCTCTCCTCAGCTGATTGGTTGCCCTTGATGATTACACCTTGCCACAAGTATCTACCATGACTTTCTTGGCTCCTCTCAATTATGTCATTGACTATCTGGACATCTGAAATGACAAAAAAATACCCACATCCATGAACCACACATAAGCATGTTTTATCATATGCTCATGTGTAAAGGTAGAGAAGTTTCTCCCAACCCAAGTAATAAAAGATTCTATAAAAATCAATAATGGGTATTGGTTTCAGGAGTATATGAGTTTCCTTCATACTGACATAATGTTATGTTGTATTAATATATTTTCTAACATTATGTCGCATTCTTCTTTGCTTCTTTATCTACTTTTTTGTTTTTAAATCATGATGAAATATTTGGTAATTTTTCCCTTTTCCTGAATGCAGATTTCAAATAATTGCTTTTCACCTTCCATTTGTTTATTACTCTTTTAATTTTTACTCTTTTATTTTGTTTTTACTCTACTTTATTTTTATAACAATAGTGGTTATCTCCTGAAGCCCTTTTTCTCATTCTTCTGCTTTGAATATGGCCAGGTTTTCCTTTATTGGCTACCTTCAGGTGCAGAATGGTCCAATTTTTCATCACATATGGAGGAAAATGACTTAGGTTAAGAATTTTGCGTTAATGTTTCTATACTTTTTACTCTTCCTTAGG